ATATGGAGTAACTCCATTTATTATTTCATTCTTTTTGTTTTTCATTCAATTGTTTACTTTAAAATAGAGTATGCTTAGAGTAAAACATAACTCTATTTTAGAGTTATTCCATTTTAAAGTAAAAAATGGAGTTTTGGGTTAGAGATGGTCTAACTGATCCAAAAAACTGCATAACCCAAACTTCGTCGGAAAATGTTTTAGATTGGCATATTATTTAAGGGAAATTAGAGTGTTAAATTACATTATTGTGAAAACAGATCAGACATGAATCCCTTGTCTTTTGATCGTTAGCGATATCATAAGTTCGATTTTTTTTCACACTATAATGTAATTTGCCATTCAATTTTTCTGAATAATTTGCGAATCTAAAATATAATAGTGGAACCAATCTAATATGTTTTTAGATTTCTGTGTTTACTATAAAACCAAACATCTTAGGAGATATTGTTGATTGTCATATTAGTTAAAGAAGTTGTTTTGTTTTTACTCAAACATACTTCATTTAATTAGGTTAAAGAAGTTGTTACTCATAGATTAGAGACATGTATGGCATACATTGTATGCTGTGTCGGAGGAGGCTAGGAGCTTCTTATCAAATAACCCCGTAGGAAAAGATATTAAATTGGCATATTATTTTAAAGAAGTTTTAGTGTGTAATTCCATCCAGTCTATATTGTTCATAAACTATATCGCAAGTTCGATTTGTTTTTTTACAGCTGTCGTAATGTACTATTCAAGTTTTTGAATAATTTGCCGATAAAAAAAATCCAATGAAACCAACCAAATATGTTTTTAGATTTCCATGTTTACTAAAATAACAAACTTTTTAGGAGATAATTTCCTATCATCATCATATTAACTAAAGAAGTACTGTTTTTCTTTAACTCAAACATACTCCATTTAATTAGTTTAAAGAAGGTTTATCATACGGAGATCCACATCTCTTCGAGATTAGAATTTTAGCTTCGAATTTCCGTTTGCTATATTTTAGCTTGTAGAAAACAAGAAACGATTTCTATTCGAAAAGTTTTTAAAAGATGATCCGCAGTTCTTTTACCACATATATATTTATTTGTTCCGCCTATGCTGTCTTTTTTTTTTTTTTTTGGTACTCTATCTTAAAAAAAAATACAAAACGCTAAATTTCAAAATTTGGTTAAATTTCTTAAAAGGTTTAAAATAATTTTAACTTTACTATAAAAGAAGGCTCATATTTATTCACAACCACAGAAAACATGGCAACGATATTTTGCAACAC